GGGGAAGAAGAAATGGATCAGAAGAACAACAGGTCCAGACTGTTTCAGCCCTTCCTTCTGGGCTGCTCTCCGAATTACCTAAACATGGTGCAGATTGCCTCAGTGCCTTTGAGACCAGGATTGTTGGGAATTTCTCTCTTATTCAGTGTTTGCTTTTCCAAAGGGAAGAAGACATCTGATATTTGAAACTGTGGCTTGGATTTGGAAAATTTGGACCTTTCTCTTGAGTGTAGTATCTTACTGTGTGGGTCTGTGCATAAGTTCCTGTTCTGTAAAAAAATAAAATAATGTTTTTTTTCCCTCCTATGTTGTTTGTTCTACCTGGCACTGGAGGAAGAGGATCAAATCTTAAATTGAATTTGCCCCAGCAGAGCCTTTGTAGTGATTAATATCTGGGGTTGCTTGGATACAGTGACTGAGTTGCTTTGTTTCTCTTTATTTTCGCAGTTGGGAGGCTGTGGAATCCTTGGAGTTGGCATCTGGCTGGCTGTTACCCAAGGCAACTTTGCTACCCTCTCCTCTTCCTTCCCGTCCCTGTCGGCTGCCAACCTACTGATCGTCACGGGGACTTTTGTTATGATCATCGGCTTCGTGGGCTGCATAGGCGCCATCAAAGAAAACAAGTGCCTCCTGCTGAGTGTGAGTATTAAGTCACTATGCAGTAATTGTTGTGCTGGTGCAATTCCAGTGCATGTCACGGTGCTCTGTATTTCAGGAGAAGTTGCCCATTTGAGATGGAACACAAGAGAGTCATGTTTGAGTCAGTATGTGATGGCTCTGAGGAGCTGCCGCATCATTCCTGACCATACTTTTAACTTGTTTTTGGATGCTGAAGCCTTTCAGAAGGGAAGGGTTGGTGTTGTATGTTTTCCTCGAAGTCTTTAGAGAGGGAGAGATTTGTGAAGACACGTTTTTTCAGTGTGTCCTTGCTTTGTTGTTGAGTAAGCTTTGGTAGCTATTTCCTCCAAACGTCTGCTCTGGTGGGACTGATGATATTGAGTCCTGGGCAGAAAGATCAGTGCAGATATGAAGCACTGAGAAGATATAAGTTGTTCTGACTCCAACTGGAAATGAAATGACTTGGATTTTGCAATGTTGGTTTTGCCAGTCATTAACTCTCAAAAGACTGAGATGTCAGGAAGCAAAGGTTGCAGCATAAGGACACTGCTGTGAAATGAAAGATTAATAAGGTGCCAGCTGTCCATGATTTGACTCAGGCTTGAGCCATTCATCTAATGTGTTTTATCAAAATATAATTTTGATGCGGCTCCAAATTGGACAGGCTGTGCAGTAGCAAGCGCTTGGTGGTGGTGATGGTAGCGTGTATTGTCTGCCCTGTTCAGCTGAAGAACAGGAGGTGAGTTGCCTTGCTGTTTCTTCAAGTTTCACAACAAGGTTCAGCAAATCTCAGCATAAAGTGAAGCTAGGGCTTAGTTTTGTTGCTGGCAATCCCTCTGTCACATTATATTTGCACTATATTATTTTTTCAGCTGTAGTGCCAGATGAAAAGACTGTTGCTCACTCTGTTTCTCATACCTGGTTTGCTCTCCTGGGAGCTTGGTGACAGACAGCTTCCAAGGTAAAGTCACCCTATAAAAATCTTTAACTGACTGAGAAATAGGAGCTTGAATAAGGTAAAGGACTCCTTCCAGACCTTTACCATAATCATTTGTTTCTGTTATATATTAACCAGTGCAAGTCAGGACTAGTACATTTCTGTAGCAGATAGGTGCTTTGGGACTAAAATGAGTAACATAAATAAGAAAGTAAGGCAATTCTCTGAAGGGAATTTTGCCTTGAGGTGGTTGAAGTCATAATCTGAGCCTGAAAGTCCCAGGCAATTTTAACAGCTTTATATAAAGACCCACTTGCAGGAGGAAGGAACTGGCCCCCTTATCTTACTGGGTTGCAGGTTCAGTGCCAGTGCAGCCGGTGTCCACACACTGCTGAGTCTAGTGGCGTAACTTGCACATGCCAAAGTAACCACCTGGCTCGGGCTGTTTGATCCAGGGCCTATCTCAGATGTGACCAGCAATGAGCTGTGTCTTCTGATCGGTCAGGATCAGGTCAAGATCAGGCTGTTTGTCCTCAGCACAGGAAGCATTTCTGACTTTTTTTTCCCTAATGGTTTGGCATAAACCAAGCCGAAGGAGCATGCAGGGCTGCTCCCATGCTGTGGCAGTAGTTACTCAAGGTAGCACGTATGCAGACAAGATCATGTTCCCCTCAGTAGAACGTCTGTGTGTCTTCGAGTAACAGGTTTCATTTACCTCCCTTGGTTCTCTGCTTGGTGCTGTGTGCGAGGAAGTCAGGGCTGTTAAATCTAACTGTAAACAACAATAAAGATGACGTGCCTGTCATCAGAGTCTCCAGATGCTCTGTCCGTGCTGCGTGCTTGTCATCTCCTCCTCTGAAATTATGCCTTTGATTCTCCTCTAAGACTCTTGTGACAGTACAAACTTAGGGGCCATATGGACATGCCTGATGTATCCAAGAACAATTTGGAGCTCCAGCTGCCGTGGTGTCCTGCAGTGTGCCCCTTCCTGCTGTTAGGATGGCAGCAGTCTCAGACCCGCAAGGACCGAAAAGGCAGTTTTCCTTGGAACGGCACTGAGGGCAGCTCCAGCACCTCCTGTTCTGCCTCCCAACAGCAAAGGAAAGAGGAAAGAAAGGACGTAGCATTTGGGAGGGTGTTCGAGTGCTACTGGAGTTGGCAGGGGTGGTTTGGAGGAATAAGTTGGGAATACTGCAAGTACAGGAGGTGAAGGGCAGTACTGGAGGTTCATAAAATGAATTTAGGAGGGAGTGGGGAAGAAAAACTAGCAGCACAACCGGGCCAAAGCCTGCATGGTGTTTGTTGGACACAGAGCTGTTGGTGTGTGAGGTCTCCTTTTGAATGGCGGCCTGCATGGTGTTTGTTGGACACAGAGGTCTCCTTTTGAATGGCACTACTGGCCCACGGTGTGGTAAGGGATTAAACCTCCTTAAGGAGTCTGCTTGAGCGAAGGAGAAATGAGCAGTATTGAGGAGACGTTGCAGCAGTAGGTTGCAGAGCAGAGGAGACTGTGATCCTGAACGTTTGCATTCTCCACATGTGACATTCATATTGTCAGAACAAAACCTAAAGTCTTTGGTGTTAGGCTGCTCCAGTGATGGATCTGAAGGATAATACTTTCTTGCTCCTGGCATTTGCTAGCCGTGTTAAATGGAGAGAGGGCAGGTGAAGTGTCTTAAGTAGGAGGGGACAGAGGAAGAAGCCAAAGGCAGAAGTAAATTTTGCTTTTATAAAAGATTTTTGCATAGCTGGATGTAATATGTGTGAGGAATGATCCATGTTAACCCTGCAAAAGATATTCAGGGAGTCTAAAACTGCAGTTTTACTAACTTGAAGAGATGTCCACCAAGCAAGGAGCTGGCAGATATTTTTGTCAGTGGCATGTGTAGCCAGGACAGTGTCACAATAATCCCTTAGGAAACAGGCTTATTGCTTTTTCTCTGCTTAGGGGAATAGAATAGTATGAAAATCTAAAATACAGCATGGAAAAAAGTAATTAAACCTCAACCCTCCTATGTGTTCTGCAGAAATATGCAGATGGTGTGAATTGCCCTGCTGTCATTTTAGGATCCCACTGAACAACAACAAAAAGAAGGATATTTACAGTGATCCTTATTTGTTCCAGCTGCAATATGAAGAAAGATAAACCCTTCCATCATTAGATTTCCCTTGGGAAATCAGAGGAACTAGCATTTCTTGAAATAAGCATACTGCCTGCTGTATATAATCTCCTATCTCAGTGCAGAGGCGAGCTGATGGGTGAAGTCAATGAACAAAGTTTTTTTTTTTACCTCAGTAAGATTCCTTTGACTTTTCTGCCATCCTAGTTGCTGCAGATCATATAACAGAAGTGGCTTTGCTATGAGCTCTCCTGTAATTAGAAAATGGCAGCTTAAACCAGATGGGTTGGATCACTGTCCTGAACCAGTGCCAGAGGTAATAAGCTGAGAGTCTGACTTGAGAAAGTTGGTCTGTTGACTTCCATGGATTTTGGTAGGTATTTGATCATGCTGTACCAGATCACATCACTGTACTGCAACCCTTTATAAGTTATCTTGCAACAAAATTCAGAATCCATCTTTGCTTGCTTTTGCCAGTGTATTTTACATTTCCAAGGTCTGTCAGAGACACTAGCCATGTCCATCCTCTTCTTGTGACTGGAAATTTTAGCCAGGTCTAGTCTAATCCTGTTGCAAGGATATGCATTTGCCCAAATCCCAAGGGCTTGCAGGAGATGAGGCACTACCTTGTACTACTGCAGAGCAACCTAGTGATGGTTTGGTCCTAGTAGGGATATCTCCTTCAGGCGGTTGCTGTATGCATGTGCATTAGCGTGTGCCATTGCTCTATGGTAGCGAATACAGAATCTGATTTACATCCTTTCATCCCTTTCAAACTCAGATGTGGGCCTGGCTGATCCTGAAGTGACTACCTAAAGGCTGTGCTTTAGGTTAACCATGATGATGTGTGTTTAAGGAGCACGGTTGCCGGAATTCAGTCTGTATTTTTCCTATATGTTTAGCAGAGATCTGTATTTGTATGCTTGCAATGGAAAGGGTCATTATTTCATAGATAATCCAGGTAAAAATCCCAGCTCTGGGTGTTAAATCGTGATGGATTATGTTATTTATTATTTGGATTACCATATTCCCTGCAGGCAGCCCATGAGGAGAGGACAACTGTGCTCTCATTCAGTGTCAGAAGTGTGCCCAGCAGAGCTTCCCATCTAAGCAGATAAGACAAATGGAAAATGTTGTTATCCTCATTAGACAGATGGGGAGCTGCAATGATCCGCTCAGGTTGCACTGGGAGGTGATGGGAGAGCTGTGAAGCTGACCCAAACTGTCTGAATCCCAGTTTGGTGCCCCTGGCCTTGGTCACTGTGTACTACAGTGTCCCCTAAAAAGTATTTAATCTGTTTTTTCAAAACAATAGCAACAATTTTGGTTTCTCTCTTTATGTCTATTACATTTTCAGTGATGAATAAATATCCCAAAGAAAAGTTAGCTCTCAACTTTTGTCTTGCTGCAAGTGCCCAGTTGGCACAAGGAAAGAGTTACCATGAGCCCCTCTGCAAGCTGTCTCTGTTCAGCTAATTGGCCTGATTGCAAAGTCACCGTAGGTTAAATGTGAAGCAGAGATCCAGAGAAGCTGTGAGAGGGGCATGTGAACAAGATGCAATGCAGAATCATATATATTAAAAAAAAAAAAAAGAGAGAGAATTTGCTCTTTGTCTAGGAAATGACAGTCGGTGGGAAAAAAATGTATCAGACCTTCCATAGCGGAAGGACTTTAATGTCTGCTTGGTCATCAGAGCATATGTGTATAGGCTTCATGGTTGAGACATTTATGTCTTAGAGAATAACTCATGTCCTCAAAAGAGAAAAGATTCCTAGACACCTGCTATGGTGTCGTGCTGCTTTGGTCACCTGCTTTGTGTCATGTTATTTCCTTGGGATTTGGGACAAATGTTCTGCTCCTGGTTGGGATGTGCTGAGTGGCCAATAGGCTTATCAAAAGAGGCAGAGAAAGGATCCTGCTTGTGTAGGGACTGGAAAGTCCTTGTGTGGGCCTGAAATGTCCTTAAGCTGACATACGTGGCTCTCAACCACCTCTTGTTAACCTCGTGTTGAGCAGTGTGGAGGTCCTGGTGTGAACAGGATCAGAATGAATCTGCAATTATATTAGATCAGAATTGTCTGTGGAGAGACCTGATATTAATATATGCATCTGAATGACTTGTCCAGGCATCAAAAGGCTCTTATTTATGGCATAGTCTAAGGGGAAATTGGGTGCCCTGATGCTTTGTGCTCAACTGCTGGGAGTTTGCTGGCCTGCAGCCAGCTCAGCTGTAAGCAAAATCGCAATAAAGCAAATGAGGAAGAAGTTAATGAGTGGGAAGAAAAGGAGAATAAAAAACCCACTGTTTTCAAGAGCGTCATGGCATCCAGTCAGAGAGCCGACAGCTGAAACTCTACTGGTGACAGGGAATTTATTTCCAAGCAGATAAATGGGAAAGAAATAGCCCATGAACGACTTCAGCGCAGCAATTTTATGCTACAGGCCAAAGAGCAGCTCAGCACATGAGGGCGCAGCTTTTAGCGGCCTGAATCACAACCGCAGGGCAAGGCTGGCTGCAGGGAGAGCAGCACGCAGGGCTGCAGGCAGAGCGGCGGCCGGGGGGGCACAGCCGGGCGGGAGCCTGGGTCCCGCTGTCGGGAACAGCCCTTGCCCGGGCGCTGCGAGCGCCGCGCGCCGGCGCCGCGGCTTTGGCTGCTCTGCTTCTGCCGCGCTGCTCCAGGAGCTCGCAGAGGGGCAGCATCTGCCTCCTCGCCCCTTCCAATCAGTTAATTTGCTATTTCGGGTACCTTGGAACTACTTAAATCAAAGAGCAACGTTGGCATTTAAGGACTTGAGTTACCTAAAGCTCAGGGGAAGACAAATCTGGCTTTGGAGAGAGAGAGCAGGGGACAATGTGCGGAAGGTGGCGCCTTCTGTGGCACCTGCAGATGCTATAGGAAGAGCTTCTGTGATCCCGTAGACTCTTCAGTTTGCTGTAGGAAGACATAAGCAGCTAAGAGGGAGAATTAGGTAAGACAGAGGCCCGGGGGGGGTGGTTGTATTAAGCAGCCATGTTCAGTGGCCCTGTCACCCGCTGCTGTGGCAGGACATTGACACCTCACTGGTACCTGCTGATGGATTTTTGAGTTGGTCTCTGCTGAGTTGAGAAATGACTGGAAGTGCCACAAAACACCAGTTAAAAGTCTGTGATCCATCGTGGGGGGAATCTACAGGCTCTCAGCTCGCGCTCATTAGAGCAATAAGACGGGATGATGCCAATTGAAAGCAATAGTGAGATTAAAACGAAACTCCATTAAGCTATGTGAAAACTGCATCTGTTCTATATCTTCCCCAAAATAATTCCTGCAGGTTTCTCCCAGTCTTGTTGATCAGTAGGAGTATCCGCATGTTCACAAAAGCTATGGCCTCAACATAAACAGAGCCGAGCCGTATATCCAGTGGGCACAGAGTCTGTGAATCCTTGTTACCGCTGCAATGGATTGAACGTTAAGGCTTTTGGAGAATAAGAGCTGATGAACCAAATTCAGATACATACTGTTTTCATAATGGAGTTTCTGATCATAAGTTTTCCCATATACATTACTGCCTTTTTACAGTTTATGAGCAAACTTGTCATTTTTATGCTGTGCAAAAATGATTGGGAGGCTGAAGAGATTTACTCCCAAGGTGATGTTAAGCGAGCTAAATGTGCACAGTATGCCTGACAGAGGGCTCAGGTGGGACATATCTGCAAATATTTGAAGAGCCTAAACACTGCGAGCAAAAAGGAATCATGCAGGGTGTGAGGAAGGAAGGAGCAACTGCCAAAAGGAGATTTTGAGCTGGATGTCAGCAAAAATTTTCTTGGAAAAGAAAATAAAAGAAAATTAAAGAACTAAGTGAGCCTTTCTTAATATTCCCACTCGCTATTAATACATCAAATCGAGATACCTTCTGGGAATTATGTGGAATCAAACTTCTTATGGTACCTAGTGGTGTATTAAACACCTTTACTTCAAAAGTGGAAAAAAAAGAGTTTTTTTTTCCAGTGCTGGGTGACAGGAGCTGGTGGGGCAAAACCCTAGCCCAGCTCCATTGGATGGAGTTGCAAATTGGATCTCATGTTTTCTGATCTGTATTTATCTGGCATCAGAAGGGCAATGCTTAGCTGTGAGGTGGCCTCCACAGCAACTGCCTAGATCCTCTTCTCTCATCCTTCAGCGGGAAGTTTCTGGGGTTAGGAATGAGCAGAGGTGCAGAGGCAGAAAGGCGCCTCTGCCTCCCTTCTCCCAGCACAGCTCTGGGCTTGCTCGTGCTTGGGTTTGTGGAGAGCTGTGCAGCAGGTGCCTCTCTGGTGAACTTCCCCAGGACTAGGTTGTGTTCCACCTTGGCAAGCACGGAGGGAAAACATCTCTCTGTACAAGGGTGGCTTAATCTTTCCGTATGGGGTTTTATCAGTATACTTTGCTTTGGGATTGTTTCTCCATGCATAAATCTGTGTTATATCAGCAGCCTGCAGCCGCAGTGAACCACAGTAAAGCTCATTTTTATTCTTCTCCTTATTTATCGCCACATTGAGTGAATTCATTTGAAAAGAGCTTCCAGAAGGGGTGGTGAAGTCTCGGGTGCTTTGTAGATGCCGTGGGCCTCCAGCCGGCTTGGGCTTCTCCCATTGAACTTTGAACAGGATCAGTCAGGCCTGCTGCGGCGCCCAGGCTGGCCCTGGTGCCCGTTGGGATGGTGCTGAGCTTGGGGCGGCGGGTGAGCTTTGCCTAGAAGGTGCCGTGGGGCTGGAGGAGCAGCTTGTGCGCACGGCCGTGCGTGCGTGTCAGCCCCACGGGTCAGAAGACCCGAGGGAGTGTGGGGGGGCTCTTGGCAGCCACCACGATCTCGAGCCTTAGCTTTGCCTTCTGACGGGTTTGTCAGGGTTCAGGAAGGCTTCTCCTTCTTCATAGGCAGAGAATAAATGTGCTGACGTGTTAGCACTGGTAACTTCTACCCAACCTTTTCCAAAGGCTTTTATCCTTTACACAGAAGCCAGCTTGGAATATATAAGCCTAAGCATTTAAGGTGTGGCAAAATTATGAACTAATGCCATCGGGGAGCTGTGGTAGGAAGTGCAGTGGAGAAGGCTGCCCTTTGGACTGAAGTCCTAAGGTGAGAAACTTTCCAAAATGTCTCTCCCATCTTGGCAGGTCTGTGTGCCCAGGGCTCGCACTACAGCCTGCACAGCCCGTGCTGGAGCCCCTCAGGAGGAGCCCTCCGGTGCTGCCATCAGGCAGAGCCCCGGCCGTGTTTGCAGACACATCTCTGCAGGGCTTTA